AACAAAAATTATGCAAAAATTAACAACTGCCTAAAAAAGTCTTTTTTAGGCAGTTGGCCCAAACTGCCTTAAAAAGTGCTACTTTATCTGCCCAAAAACAAGCACAAAAAAGACACTTTTTCATGTCAATGGCGAAAAAAAAAATTTTTTTTTATATAATTTGTTGATTAATAAAAACTACAAAAAAAGAGAATAATAATTTTTCCAGCAAAAAATAATTCCAATTTTTTATTCTAAAAAATTATTTGTTTAAAAATCATTTATCATAAACGTTATGCATATTTCAGCATTTATTGTTTTTGTATATGAAATAAATATCAGTGTATATGTCAGACAAAAAAAAATTCTTATTTCAATTAGTAAAAAATTTAATTTAAATTCTGACAATATTTTTCTTTTTCTCGAAATTAAATGCCAGTAAATATATATAGGTGATAGTCAATTTCCTGCCAAACAGAAATTTCCAAACTTTTGTCATATTTTAGTAGTAAAAATGAGTTTCAGTCCGACTTTATATATAAACACATATTATCATGTGAATTAAATGTCAGTAGTTAATGTCAGTCACAGTCAGACAGAATGTATAAAATTCTTGTAATCTAGATATAGGCAAATAACGCAAATAAATATACATAACTTAAACTACCTTTAAATTATTATTATTATTATTATTATTATTATTATTATTATTATTATTATTATTATGATTTTAAATTTTGTACTAAGTAATTTTACATTTGCGTAATATATAAATAATCGATGTTGTATATCGAGCTTGTATGCATAACAAATTGTTCACATTGTTCTAACCCAAGGGCGCATTATTAATCTCAGTTTGTCATGATGGGACGTTCGCGTTTCATCTGCAAACACACACACACATATATATGTATATATATATATATATATATAATCGCATGTAAATTGTGTTGCATTTATGCATATATACATATTGTATATATATATACAATGTAAGGAAGTGTATAGCTTAATTATTGTCCTCCGAATATATTAGCACATATTTCAATTATTAAAAAAAAAACGCAATAAACTGCTGATAGTCTCCAAATTTGAATAATTAGTTAAAAATAATATATTTTACTTAAATTCACTTTTAGATTATGTTAAAATAACTAAAATTTCTGGTAAATAAAAATTTAATTAGTCAAAATTTAATTATATTTTTTCAGTTATTTTACCATTGAAAATTAGTTATTTTTTTATTAATAATTAGTTATTTATTATTTTTTTTTACTAATTGCTGCACTCATTAATAAATTTATTTATAATAACCAAATTTTAGTTGAATCAACCCATAATAAATTTATTGCCAATTCACAGAAAAAAACCTAGTCTCATTTTTATTGCAACTCAAAATGAGCCAATACTAAACGATATAGACAGTGGCGCCATCAACCTGCTCTCTAAATCTGAATTAGTAAAAATGTTTACTAATTTAAATTAGTGACTCATTTTTTTGCTTTAGAATTAGTTAAATTTTACTAATTGTTAGTAAAAGTTACTAATAATTAGTTAAATTTTACTAATTCTAAAGCAAAAAGTGAGTCACTAATTTAAATTAGTAAACATTCTTACTAATTCAGATTTAGAGAGTGACTCATTTTTGTTCCACTTCAAAATGAATAGCATACGTTACTTATTTTGAGACCAGGTTTTTTCTGTGAATATAATAAAATCAAAAGTCAATATGGTTCAATCAAATTTTGTCCTCGTTCGAAAATTTTATTAAAATAAACCATACGTTTATTTAGATTAAATAAATATTTATTTAAAACAAATTTTGTTTCGAATATTCAAAAAAAAAAAATTAATTAATTAATTAATTAATACAAATAAATTTTGTATTTGTTTCCAAAAAGAAAAAAAATTGTAATTTAAAAAAAAGAACCTCGAAAAAACTATACGACTAAATTTCTAATAAAAAAAAAAATAAATAATCAGTACGAAAGTAATTAACTGAAAATGTGTGATGTAATTTTCACCTTCACGTTAGTTAAATAATTAAGTCAAACAAAACGTTTGCAATACATCGATTAGAAGTTCTTAATTAATTTGATCACGACATCACTTTTACTTAATTAAATCACACTATATATATAGAGGGTAGTTTATTTAGAGCCAAGTAGTTGGATCTTTCTTTTTCTGTTTGGAATAATTATCAAGACTATAAATTTAAGAGGAATACAAAATTACGACTTATAGAATGGTATTGCAACATCAGCTTTTGGTACGTTCAAGCTTATCTAGCTGGACGAACTCGATTGAGAAACTCTGATAAGCTGAATGAACGCACCACAGAACATGCAAGCTGATCATTACCCTCGAAATATATATATATAAGTAAACTCAAATCACCTTCCCATAATGTACAATCTGTTACGCAATGAAATTCGAAATTCTGACCCAGTTAAATTGATGAGACAATTAATTATTAGCGAATTTTATTAAATTTCAGCGCATATATTGAAAATGATAAAACATTTTTTCTATACACGAAAAAAAAAATTACACGTACATAACACGTTTATAATTAATGATTAGATAATAAATTATTTTTTATCACGAAAAATTTTTTGATTATTTCAAAAAAAAGGTTTTTTTTTTTTATATAATTTTTCAGATGATTTCCGTTTATAATAAAAAAAAATTATTTGCAATTTAATTGTGAAAACTTTCAATTTATTAAATAAATGTGCGTAAAAGGGAAATTTTTTTTCTTTTACAAAATAAAATATAGTAATAATAAGATAAAAAAAAAAAAAATTTAAAAAAGCTCAACAAAATTGATTTCAATTGAAAATTATACAATTTGGATATTTCAAATTTTAATAAAATTATTTTTAATTATTAAATAATTTATTTTGTTAATAAAACAAATTTCAAGTTTGAGATTATAATCTACTCACTAAATCTGAATTAGTGAAATAATTGAGCTACTAATTTAATACAGAAAATTAAAAGGCATTAAAATAAGCTGCTATTATTTTAATTCAATTTTGCTTATTTTAATACCGAAATGGATTAAAATAAGCAAAAGTGGATTAAAATAATAAGCGTTGCAGCTTATTTTAATGCCTTTTTATATTCTGTGAAATTAGTAAGAATTTTTACTAATTTTTAGTCATTTTTTATTAAAAATTTAGTAAAAAAATTTAAAACTATACTAAATCAAATTTTAAATTACTAAAAATTAGTAAAAAATTTTACTAATGTAAATTATTGCTCACTTTTCACTAATTCAAATTTAGTGAGTATATTTTTATATAGATTCCTGAAAAAAAATAAATGATTAATATATTAAAAAGAAAAAATTATTTCTCACCACGATGACTCAACTGAAAATAATAATTGTTAATTAACATAACAAATAGATAATACTTAATATTTACAATTTAGAAATTTATAAAAAAAAAGATTAAATAAAATAAACAACATAGTGACAAAAAAAATATTTTTACTAGTATATAATATGTGTATCACTTATATACACAGAGATACCGATTTTCCTACCTATCGCTATATTTAAAACGCAAAAATACACCTATTCTAAAAAAAAAATTCCGATTTCCCTACCTATAGCTTTATTTAAAACGAAAAAAAAAACAAACTATTTCCTATATATCAAGGGTTAACGTCCCGGGACTTAACCGTTATCTGAACTCAAATTACCTGAAAGAAAAATTTCTAATTATTATCTTTTAAATAAAATTAGAAAAAAATATATACTTTTAATTCCACATGCATTAAGTATTTTAAATTCAAAAATTAAATATATATATTATATAAAAAAATTAGAAATTGATAATTAAAAAATGAACCAAATATTAAATTAAATATATTATTATTTTTGAAAAGAAAAACTTTCAATCACAAAAAAAAATGGCAAAACATAAATGTTGAACAAGAACAAAATAAATTAGAAATGACAAAAAATAACAAATAATTGACAAAAAATATTAATTTGCGTATATAGTAATTGAAAATAATATATATTTTGTCAATTGTGTCACTATGTTGTAAAATCCTTCCCTGTTTTTTTTTTTTTTTTTTTTCAAATTTTTGATCGACATTGTGAATTTATTTATTTAGAGTTAAATATTAACTGAAAAATTAATTTCCAATTTTAGATGAAGCATAATCATAAATCTACTTAAACAGAGAAGGAGGATTTAATAAAAAAAAAAAAATCACTCACCGATCGGCGAATCCCACGCTGGAAAATGACAGCATACAATATCCTCTCTTGAATTCCTTTTTAAATGTCTGAAAATTAAAACAAAAAATACATTATTTATTTTTTAAAAACAGTTAATTTTGCATAAATAAACAGTACAAATAATAATAAATAAACAGTTTTTAATAAATTTTCAAATTCTTATATTTTTATTATTTTGTAATAATAACAATAATAATAATATTTTCCAATTAAGATCATGTTTACGTATAATAATAATATAATAATAATATAATAATAATATAAATAATAATATAATAATTAATAATAATAAACAAATATTCTTTTTATCCACCTAAATTAAAATTTAAATTTAAAAAAAAATTAATAAAGAAATTTTTATTATTTTTTTTTTTTTTATTAAAAGTGCAATTTATATTTTAATGTAAAAGCTCCTTCAACACACTTTTGGTCCTAAAAGACATTGATATTCGCTTATAGCTATAGGGGCTGAAGATAACTACTCGGGTATAAAGAATTTCCCCAAGTCTCTCTTGTACAACTACTCTTCAATGCTAAGACTCAAAAGTGGGACACCTAGTTAAAGATATATATATATATATATATATATATATATATATATATATATATATATATATATATATATATATATATATATATATATATATATATTTTACGTCAGAAATATTTTCTGTGTAGAAATACCAAAAAAAAATTTTTTTTAAATATTAAATAAATTAAAATTCTGCCTTTTTTTAAAATTTATTATTATTTTTTTTTTCAGAAAGATAGAATGTCAGAAGAGCAACCACAGTACAAATTAATATATTTTAATGCAAGAGGAAGGGCAGAACATATTCGTTATATTTTTGCATACGCTGGTATCGATTACATTGATGAACGAATTCCAAAAGAACGTTGGACAGAAATTAAAAGAAGTATGTAAAAAAATTTTTCAATAAATAAACATTTTTTTTTTTTTTTTTTAAATAAAAATTTGGCAAAATAATTTTTATTATTTTCTTATTTTAATTTAGCAATGCCTTATGGAATGCTACCAGTATTACAAATTGACGGAAAATTGATAGCTCAAAGCAATGCCGTTGCCCGTTATTTGGCACGTAAACATGGTCTTAATGGAAAAGACGAGTGGGAAGCTATGTTGTGCGATGTTCTTGTTGACACCCTCGGGGATCTTAAACATGGTATGTATATATGAGAAAATATCATTGTTTTCTTTTTTTTTTATAAAAAATATTTTCTCCCATAAACATCTCTTTTTTTTAAATTTTATTTATTACTTTTCAAAAAGTATTTTTTTTTTTACAAATAAAATATTAAAAAAAAAAAAAATTTATTTACAACCTAATTATTATTAGCTAATAATTTTATTTTCAGAATTATTTCAATATAGGACAGAAGAAGACATGTTTAAAAAAGAAGATAAAAAAATGAAGCTAATGAAGGAAACAATTCCTTTTTATTTAAATAAATTCGAACAAACAATTGCTGATAATGATGGCTATGCTGTTGGCTCAAATGTAAAAAAAAAATAGAATCTGCTTTTATAAATATATTTTTTTTCTTAATTTTAATATTAATTATTGAAAAAATTTTTTTCCAGACAACATGGGCAGATTTTGTTTTTGCAGTAGCTTTGGAAAATTTCGAGCAAATTTTTGGAAGTAACGCCCTTGAAAATTACCCGGCCCTACGCTCATTAAAACAACGTGTTCACGAAATACCTGAAATCGTGACCTGGTTAGCGAAAAGACCGCAAACTGAATTCTAAAAATCTTGTTAAATTCAAGAAAGTCCATCTTTCAAATTTTCAAGTTCAAATTTCATCGATGAAGAAAATTTTGATTGACTGTTTAAAAATAAAAATTACAAAAAATAATAATAATAATAATGCATATCTGTGAGCACTTGCAGAAACGATTTTGCTGGATTAGCGAGAAAAAAAAAGAGGATTGATTTATAAGAAAAGAATAATGCGACCCGCATCGAATTGCAAAATAAAAAAAAAATAAAATAAAACAATTATAAAATCGCTATTTATAATACAAAAAAAAATTATTGAAAAAAAAATCTATCCTTTTTTTTTCAAAAATTTAAGATTCGCAAATCCTCTGAAAATACGATTTATCATTTCAGTCAATATTTCATAGACAATAAGAGACGATCTTTATTTATTTAAAAAAAAAGTATATATATATATATATATATATATTTAAAAAAATACTTTAAAGTATTTTCAAAAAATGCAAAGTATATAACAAGGAAACTAAAAAGAAAAAACTGTTTCACATTAAATATTTTAATAATCGAATGTTTCAAATATATAATGAAAAAAAAATATGTGTAGAATATATCTATTGTATATCTATATTATTTGTTTATTATATTAAAAATTACATAAATCAGAGATTTATTTTTCCGATTGTTAGATTCCATAATTTTATATGATCAAATAATAAAGAAAAAAAAAAAAAAAAAAAGAAAATAAAAATGAAGCGAAAGTATTTTCAAAATAAATCTTACTATGTCGGTTCTAATGATAAAACTGGGTCATAATGTGTTGTTATTATTAATTAATTTTCAATTAATTACTAAACTAAATTCTGACCATAATACAAATTTGGATAGATTAAAGATACTCACTGGTTGTGACAGGTCAACAAGTGAATGCAAATTATCATTTTAATTAGATAATTATTTTATATAATTTTATAAGCAAACTATCAAAAATATGTATTTTTTTGCAAAATTTATTTATTTTTGTTTAAGAAATTCATAATATTTAAATATTATTCTTAATAATTAATTTTTGAAAAATTTCCATTTTATTTAATAATATACATTATGAAATTAATAATAATTAATAAATCAATTAATTTTCAAAAAACTGAAAATAAAAAATTGTGATATATTTATCTTTTGCAATGAAATTTTAACGAACAGAGTATAAAAAAAAACCATGAAAAATAATTAATAGCCACAAAAATAGAAAAAAAAAAAGTATTATATTTTGTTTTGTGAATTAATTAGTAAAGAGGATCTACGAAAATCTTGTGTCTTTGTATAGAAGAAATTAGAAGGGGTTTAATTATAAAGAAGACTCTAAAAAAAAAAAAAAAAAATTAAAAAAAAGACAAAGAGTTACTGATTATATGTATAGATGTTATCAGTGTAACAATGTTGTCAAAGTTGAATCGATGAAATAGTGCACGTTTTTAATGGAAAAGTCTAACAGAAAATAAAAAATTATTTAAATACCCTACTTTATAGCTATTTCTAATCAAAAAAGTAATTTAATTTAAATTAAACAATTTAAAACAAAAAACAATTATTTCTAAGGATTAATTTTTCTAAAAGACAATCCAATATTGATTTCAATAATTCAACTTACATAATAATATATTTATTATAGTAAAAGAAAAGTGGTACAAAAAATTTTACGTCAAAACTAAATTTTTTTTGTTTTTTTTTTTTTTGGTTATTTTTAACTCTAATCTTTCTTAACATTTTTTTCAAAGTTTACAACAAAAAATAAAAAAATACATAAATACAAATTGAAAATAATTTTTTTAAAAAATCACAAAAACCAAAAAGAAAAATCACTTTAAAAATTTAATATGTCAACATTATATTAGTCATTTTATTATTTAAACCCTTTTTATACAAAAAAAATCGTCAATAAAATTAAAACTAGTTGATAATTAAATAATTTTGATTTGAAATAAATAATTTTTCGACATTAATTTAGTGATTTTGTAAAAAGTTAAAAACCACACAAAATATATATATATATATAAAAAAAAAAGGTTGATAAAAAATAATCTAAAAATATTATGTATATTTGAAAAGGGCATCTTTAATGATATATACCTATGTGCTTCATAAAAATTCATAAACAATGAAATTATAATTTTTTTTCTCGAGAAAAATATACATTATCTCGATAAAGAGATGTGTTCAAAGCTTGTTGCGTTATCAGTGTGCTGTATGCAATATGAAATAGTTATATTATAATTAAAAATGTGTGATTGATAATTATTAAAAAAAAAAAACAAAAAAAAATATTGATGATATATAATAGTGAAGATAATTACATATGTCAAATGTATAGAATACACAAATAATTTACAAATGTATTCTTTATTTTTCCACAAATCAATTTACGAATTATGCTTAATAAATAATTTCTTAACGTTATTTAATTTTATTTTCTTTAATTTTATTTGTTTTTCTATTTTTTATTTTTAATGCAACAAAATTCTAATCAATATTTAATTTAAGTAATAATAATTGTTTTATATAAATATGCATTCTTGTGAGAACAGTTATCTTAATTTTTATTATTTACATGATAAAAAAAACTTATATAATATGAATATAATAAATAATATACCATACGAAAATAAAATGTTCGTTTTAGAATTATTCAATATTTTCCTAATATTAAAAAAAAAGAAACAAAATTATTCTATGGCAAAAAAACAATATTTAACTTTCTCTTTTTACAAATTATCACTCTTTAATAGTTTATATATTATCTGAAATAAACATTATTTACTTACAATTAACTGCATCCACCAGTGCCAGATCTCCTCCTGGAGCTGCTCTGCATACATCTCCATTCCAAAGAAATACTTGCACTTTTCACTTTCTTTAACTCTTCAACACTTTTGTTCCGAAAAAAACACACGCGAAACGAAAATTATTTTCAAAAAACGTAACACTACTCAAGGAAAAATAATGAATTTACAAAACACAATATGAATACATTGTAAAACAATGAAAAATCTAAAATAACACGATGAAGAAAACATTCAATTTTCACACGACACGCGGACGACAAAAAATCACATCAATTTAACGTCACACGCGATGTTGGCACAATATTTTACATGATATTTACGTACAAATTGTCACAGTTTAATCAAAACTCTAGAAAAATTACACAAGGTATTTTTGGAAATCATGTATAGTTAATTAGTAACTGTGGTAGTAATTTTTCCCAATGATTGCCGAAAACAAACCAGAGCAACACTCACTCAAAAAGAGCGATACAAAATGGCGCCGATTTGCCAACAATTAAATCAGACACGAAAAAAATTTATTCAATACACAAGACTATAAAAAACGAAAATACACGGTATAAAGAAAGATACAAGAAAAAAAAAACCGCACACACGACACGAAATAACAACTTTTGATAAAATACGATTAATTTAACATTCGTCATACGATACACTGATAAATATATCTTTAAAACTTATTATTTTCACAATAGCAATCAATTAACAAACAGATTATTACATAATCAAAACTATTTAATAAAAATGCACACTTAGTACTTTCTCCGTTACTTGTAGAGAGCAATATAAAATGGCGCCAATGCACAAAGAATGACTAGAAGGGGAATTAAGGGTTGAGTAGCTACTATTGAAATGACCAATTCCAGGGGAACATTTGAAATGTGACACTTTACTGAGGGGTATTGTATATCTACCTTTCTTTTTCCATAAAGGTGAAAAATTATAAAGTTTATAAAAATTTCATAAAGATTATGAAAAAAATTCAGATTTCTAATAAAATAAGAAAAGAATAGATATAATTTGAGATATTCTTTTCACTTTGTTACCACAATTTTGTCCAATTGGCGCGCAAAGCATACCACTTGCAGAACTGTGATCGCACCTTAATATGGCGGCAAAAGTATGTTATCTGATTGGATGAACAACTTTTTTTTTAAGAAGCGTGGCAGACTTTCGACTTATAGGAACAACATGGATGTCCATGCTCATGTAAAATAAAGCCTTTAGGGCTCCTTTCCTTCAAAAAAAAATCGTTGTGTGTGTGGAACTATATTATCACTGATTTTTATTATTAAATTATCTCGAATTCAAATATGTCTTCGGGTGAGTGTCAATGTGTGCCATATTATATATGATTATTATAATTAAATAAGATTTAATTTATCATTTGAAAATGCATTTTTACATGAATTTTATATAAAATTACTATTGACATAACCAAACATTTTACGGAGCTTGCAGCATGGTTTCAATATTGTAGATAATCAAGTTTTTTGCAATATAAATTTTTTTATTACAGGAAAGAAAGGTAAAAAAAGCAAGGGGAAAACAGTAGCCCTTCATGATTTTCTCGCCGATTCATCTGGTGGTGTTCCCAGTATACCATTAAAATCAGCCAATTGGGCAGACGACATCGAGGACGAACATGGTAAGTGCAACGCGTATTCACATGCGAGAATTTTATTTCCCCCTCTTTCTTTTTCTTCTTACGTATATTTTTCCTGCAAAATAATAATTTTAATTTATATATATATTTTTTTTTATATATGTATATATATGTAGTTAATTAGATTTCTTGCCACGTTATTATAATTAAACAAAATTCTAATGAAATTAGTAATTATGGATATTATTTATCTTTTAAATTGATAATTAAATCTCAAACGGCATTTAATTTGTTTTTTGATGTTATGCTTTAACATATTTTTGTTAGTTAATTTGAAAATAATATTTTTAACTTTTTTGCATAAAACAAAAGAATTTAATTTCATAGCTAACTTTGGAAAAATAAAAGTAATTAAATAACATTCTTCTTTAAATTTAATTATATTTAATTTATTTTTTTTTTTAATTCATTAACGTTTAGAAATTTTTTTTATTATTGTATTGTTTTCTTTTTGTAATTATATTTGAAAATGTAATAATTTTTCAACTAACAATTTTAATTGGCCGCGTAGAATGAAAAATGCGTTTATATTTGTATATTTTGCATAGCGTTAAGTCATGGTAACTTCCGGTTTGTTTTATTCTTTTTTTTTTCTTAATTTGAGAACTCTAAATTGGTCAGAATATTTTTTTAATTTATATAATAAAAAAAACAAGGTTTTAAAATGTTATTTTTGTAAAATTATCTATTAAATTTTTTTTTTTCTTTTTTTTTATTTTTCTGTTTCATTGGTGATGATAAATGTTTTATTCATATATTATTATTTTAGGGGGGATTAATAATAGCATTAATTTTAGATGGATACTCGTCGAGAAGTAATAAAGAACCTGTTATTTTACCGACGGCACCAAGAGCAGCTCGTGAGCCTGGATTTAATGAGGAAAATATTCCAACAAGTCCTCCATTTGTGGCTTATGTTTCAAATTTGCCATACGATATTGTTGAGGCTGATTTGGAAAATTTTTTCAGTGGATTAAATGTAAGTAATGGAAGATTGAAAGTTATTTGTTCATTTTATTAGAAAAAAAGAAATGAAACTCTTTTTTATTTTTTGCAGATTTCCAATATGCGTCTTCCTAAAGAATCCAATAAACTTAGAGGATATGGATACGTTGAATTTGACGATAGACAGAGTTTAATTGATGCTCTAAACCTGACAGATGCGGTTAGTTTGAAGTATTTTTTTTTTTTTTATATAAATTTCGAATAAAATTAATTGAAATTAATTATTCTATTTTTTGAATTAGACCTTGCAAAGTAGGCGTATTAGAATTGAAATTTCAAACAGCAGCAATGAGGAGCGTCGTGGTGGAAGAATGGGAAGAGATAATCGTAGAGATGGTGGTTTTGAAGATTCTGAACAACGTACTTCCAGTGATTGGCGAAGTGGTCCAAGAGATGAGACATCATCGGACTCTGATCGATATCGAGGAAGAGGAGGATATGAAAATAGAGATCGTGATCGTGATCGTAAAGATGATCGTGAAGGTAAATTTTTGCATGAAAAATATCATCAATTATAGAAAATATTTATTAAAATTTCTAATTTTGTTATTTATTTTTAGAAACTGACAATACTCCAGGTGCTTGGAGAGTAGGTGGTGATAAAGGAAGACCGTCATTTAGAGATAGAGGCGGTGATGATCGCGAAAAAGATTGGGGTGGTTCACGTTACGGTGGAGAAAGAGGAAGTAGAGACAGAGATGGAGATCGGGATCGTGATCGCGATAGAGGAGGTAGTGGTTTTGGACCACGACGTAATTATGGCGGTGAATCCAATTGGGAAAGAGGACAAGGTGATTAGTCAATTAAAAAGAAAAAAAAAAAAAACAATTGTTTCACTTTTTTGAGAATGAAAATTGAAAGTAATTGATGAGAAATTTGTAAATAAGTTTTTGTTTAAAAATTTTTATAGCTTCAGCTTCTGAACCTCGAACAAGACCAAAATTAGTGTTGCAACCGCGTACAAAACCAGTGGAAGAAATTGTCGTTAAAGAAGAGGAAGTTGAGAAACCATCGGAACCAATTACTCCACCTCCAGCACCTGTGCCAGCTGCTAATATTTTTGGTGCTGCCAAGCCTGTTGATACGGCTGCACGAGAAAGAGAAATTGAAGCACGTCTCAATAAAGCTGAATCTAAAGCTAAAGAAGAATCGTAAGTTATTTTTTTTTTTCCTTTTTAAATTATATACAGTATAAATAAAAAATGTGTTTAATTATTTTTTACTTGTAGAGATCAAGAAAAACGGAATACAAAGGAAGTAGGAGCTTGGGGAAAACGTAATGGAGTAAGTTTTTTTAGAATTTAATAAATTTATTTCGTGTTTAAAAATAAATGTATTAAAATTGTTTTGTTTTGTATTTTTTTTAAGGAGGGACGTGATGATAAAGAGAAAACAAAATTAAGGTGGAGATCTGAAGATGACAGAGGAAAGCCATCGGAAAGAAGAACTGAAAGACAAAATCCGCCTTCTCGGCCAGGTAAATAAATACATTCTCTTTTCTTCATAATTAATATATAATTTTTATTACAAAATTTTTTTTATTTAGAGCAACGTGGAGATTCGAGACCTCCAATGACATCACGAGGTGGATTGTCTTCTCGAGGTCCTGCTAGGCAAACTGATGCTCGACAACCGCCTCCCGAGAGGTAATTATTTTTATTTAATTTATTATTTCTTATATATTTCAATTAAAATAGAAAAATAAAACAAAATTTATGATTTTCATTTTAGAGAGCGTAAAGAGAGAGATCGAGAAGAACAAGATGAAATCAGCCGAATGCCAAAGGCTAGAGAGGAGCAAACGCCAGTAATTTGGATTTTTTTTTTAAATCTATAATTTGATTATTTTAAAAATATGTCAATTATTATAAATTCATTTTTTTTACAGAATTTTGCGGCTTCCAACAAATATTCCATGTTAACTGATGATATGGATCCAGATAATATTGAGGATTAAAAATGCTCATCACTTCAATTGACGTTTCCAATGGAATTGTGCTAATTACCATTCAGAAGCGTATAAAACTATTAACATACTATTATACATACTATTATTACCCAATTTATTTTACATTCACTGAATACTTATCTTTAACTGATTCATGAACAGGACGGGAAATGCGATCTATTCCATCTAATGTCTAGCTTTCTTTCTCTTTTTTTTATGGAATTATTGTTAATTTGTATTTAATCTATTTTATTATTCTTAATACAATTTACGGTAAATCTTTCCATATTGTTGTTGTTGTTTTTTTTTGTTTTCTTTTTTTTGTAATCAATATGCGTCAGTTGATAATTATATTGTCTGAGACAAAGGTTTTTTTTTTCTTTTATTTTAAGAATCTTTTTCGATTATTATTATTATTATAATTATTATGTGATCCGTCGAAAATGATGGCGAGGGATTATATTTTTACGCGATGTACAGCACTTTAGAAAAAATGAGCATTGTATAATATATATACAAGTTTACTTATTTACATTATTATGTAAAATGAAAAATAATCCAACGCCAAAATACATATGCAAATTTTTCTAGAGCTAATTACATTAATATTATATACATATTACCGACAAAAGAAACCTGGAGAATAATATTATCTATTCGCTGCTTGTGTTGTGAATACAGTTATGATGGAATTTTTTTTAATATAAATAAGAATCAATAGAATATATTATATTGTGTTACATTTATTGTCCATATTAATCTAATTTAATTTAACAGTGAATTTTAATTGTTTTTTGTTTTTTTTTTGGAATTGAATGAATATTTCATACTTTAGATAAATATATGTTTAATTAAAATTTTTATTTTCCAATATTAATTATTTACACGCACTAATCTATCGATATGTACACTTTATATTATACATATTTACAATTTATGAAAGTAAGATTACTAGAAATATTAAAATGTGTTAATCATTTTTTTTTTTTTTTTTTAAGCTGGTTAATTTATTGTTGTGTTGCTTGAGCTAATTGGCGCAATTGTTTTAGAACAGTTTCTAAAAGTTTCTTTTTTTCTCGTTCACTTTTTTTCAATACAATAAACACTGTTTTTTTATCTGATTCTTTCAGTCTGAAAAAAAACAACAATAAATCATTTATTATATTTTTTGATTATTTAATTTAGTAATTTATTAATGGAAAATACTTACTTTTCTAATAATATGACTGCCATATTTGGTGTAACGAGAATATATTTACTCGATTCACTTCCATAATCGTGAAAATACGTTGGCCAATCCCAATTTGTAAAAAGATCTAACAATTGTCGTAATTGTGCAAAATTTTCCAATAATGCACCTTCAGGTAAACCCTTCACTGGATCAGAAGCAGCAAATTCTGTGATATTTTGAAAAAAAACAATTATTGAGAAATAAAAAAAAAAAATTATACAAATAAATTTTTTATTAATTAACACATATCACTTACGCTCACACTGAATTGTGTCTAAATTCACTTGATGTAATGCACCCAATGAGATTTGTTTTACATCTTCACTGACTAAAATATCAAGAATGGATTTCGCGATATGAGCACAAGCAGCCTTACAAGCAACTTGTGCTACTTCTTGCTGTAAAATAAAAAAAAAAATATTAAAAACAATTGGAAAATTAAAAATAAATAAATTTTCAAATTATTTAAATACAATTAGTAAACAAAAATTTGATAATAGTATTAGAAGAAGGATAATTTAAGGATGTTGATAACTTACAGGTAAGTCTGTGAAACACTTGAAGGTACTGTGTAAAAATGCTATTAGATCTGTAATAAAACCCGAGGCGTGTCCCTGCGATTCTATCAATGTCCAATCATAATTTTCTAATTCAAGAAATTCATTCAATTTTTGCTTGAGTTTCACGCATATTTGTTTTTCAGCATCATCACGTGCTACTCTAAACATTGTTGACTTGACACCCCCACTGCTTAATTGTCCCTCATGTGGAGTTCTAAAAACAAAAATAAATAAATTCTAAATTTTAGTAATTTTAAATAATTTTAATAAATTTTTCAACACAAACCCAGTAATATTAGAAAGAAATTCCTCGAGATATTTTGTCGATCCTTCCAACCATCCAGTATTTATAATAATTTGTACAACTTGAAGTAATGCCAACGATGGTTTACGAAATAATGAAGACAAACATCCACTAAATGTTCGTGTTAATAATAAATTTGTCGATTTACATATCATTTCATCAATTTCCGTTTGTGTTAAATTTAAATCTTCAGAAAATTTCAAACATGCATAAATAAATTCTTTAACTTGTTGATAGACTTTTGGCACCATTGGTGAAAATGGAAATGTTTTTGGGAATTCTGATTTTTCTAATTCTTTATTACGATAAGGAAATGAACCAAGAACATTGTCACATTCTTCTTGTGATGATACTTGAATTGGCAAAAAATTATCCTCCTCAAGTATATCTCTAAATACTTGTACCCAATGTTGCATTAAAACTTCATTATAATGAACACGAATTTCTTGAAGTAAATCCCAAAGTTGACCAACAGAATAGCCATAATTCTAAAATTTTATTTTTTTTTAAAAATAAATATATTCAATTGTAAGAAAAAAATTAAATTTAGAAAAACTTACTCTTAATGTTGTGTTGAACAGCATTATGAGATTTTTAATTTTTAATATTAGCGTAGCATCAGTGCAATATGCCTTGAAAAAAAAAAATTAAATTAATTTTAGTTAAAAAAGAAATATTTGAAAATTTCGACTTTTTTTTGGTATTTACCGAATGTGTTCGAAGTGCATTAACAATTTTTGATAAAGCCATAGACCAAAGTTCTTCTAAATATGATCGAGTCGCCAAACCATTGCCAGTATTTAGAATATGATCTTCAACGACAAAAAAACCGAGAATTCCATAAACATACGACTGATAGCCTTTTATACTTTCGTGCTGGGGGAAAAAAAATGTTTTTCATTAACAAATAAAAAAATTATTTCATTAAAAAAAATATATTACCATATTAATTGGTGGTTGTAAAACGAGTCTCGCTTGTTGTTGCCTCTGTTGTCTGTAATAAGCTTTAAATGTTTCGCCTTCACGTAAAACAGTGTAAATGTGCATACATCGATAAACTGGACTAAAATCCATAAGATCTTGTGCGCTTAATTCCTCATCACCTTCAATTGATGGCGTTGAATGTAAACGTTTTTTTCTACGTCCAATAATTTCAGCCTCATTCTCCAATTGTTCTGCAGTCTAAATTAAAATAAATAAATTAAAAAAAGAGCTAATTGTTTTTTCTATCAATAATTTGAAAATACTCACATGTCTCATGGCAACTTCTCCAATTTTCGGTGAATATTTTCGAATGTTTTCCAAAAAATCTCTCAAATCACTCATTGAAGCGTCTTTTATATTTTCTCTCAATCTATAAAATATAAATGCATATTAAAATTAAAAAATTTATTTTTATTTTATTTTATCACCAATAAAAAAAATACATACACGGGTATTTGTTGAGTGATTTGTGAAGAGAATCTATAATTCGTCACCTTTGGTAAATCATTGTTCTCCAATTGTTCAAGTGTTTTTAAAGCAGGATAATAACGTTTATCTTTTAATTGACGTTGTAATTTTGCATAAGCTGCTAAAACGGGAAGGCACATTGTGAGACTATCTACTGCCGCAGCCATATTACTCTCAACTTTTCTTGCTTTTACAAGTTCCTCACGTTTCTCTATTACTCCAGTGGTTGTAAGAACAATTCGTTTATCGAGTTCTAATATTTTACTCTATTAAAAAAAAAAACATTACAAATAATATAATTTATCATTAGTATTATTTTACTCTATATATTCATACACTTAATTGTTGAGCTTGAGATCGAACTTGAAGCAATTCTCGAATTGAGTCAATGAATCCTTGATAATGATGATTGCACATACGTTCAATATCTCTATCATGACTTTTGATTCGTTCGTCCAATTTTTCCATAAATTTATGATGTTCTTCTCCATCGTATATTGCTCTATAATTATTATTATTCTATTAATATTCTAATTCATTGGATTAGTTTAAATTGTTAAAAAGATAATAAAATTTTAATATAAAAAACGCTGTCCTAAATAAAAAAAAAAAAATTTATAAAAAGAAAAACATGTACGGACCTTATGACAAGAGCTATATTATTTACACCTGAAGATTCAATTTCAGTCAATAAATGTTCATGTTTTGGTACTGCATTAAGTAAAGCATTGTATAATGGTGCAATCGACAAACTCGACATGCTAATTTCAAAGTTCGTAAGTAATCTTTTTTCTTATTAATAAGAATTGTTAAAATATAATATATATATATATATATATTATTTCCAACCCCATTCTAACCCTTTTTACAATGCGCAAATGCAGATAAATGATATTGTTACTGCGTACAAGAGGGTTGTTTTCACCCCGCGTACATTTGATATATAAAAAACTAACCTCACTTTCTTGAAAATGAAAAATTTTAATTTTACTTACCTAAATGTTGGTCCCAAATAATCATCAATTCCTTCAATTTCTTGTATTAGAATATCAGATTGTTGCATTTTTAAATAATTAAAAATATCTCTTCGGTTATTATTTCAATAATTTTGACAGATTGCCTTCGCAGATCTATAGTTGACATTAAGGGTGTGGTCACACCTTGTAACTATCTACTTTAGGCTGTGTTCACAATAAAAACATTAACGCGCAATATAGATAAATTTTTTAAAAATATATAAATTAAAAATTCTTTTCAGCGTTTATTTAAAAAATTAATAACTTCAATTAATTTTTTCTAATTAATTTTTATTGAATAAATTAACAACTTAATTAAAACATACGAGAAACATTAAAATCAAATATTGTTCGTTTTTTTTTTTGCTTTAACATTATTAAAAGTAAAGAAAGTCATTTTTATTAAATCATGAATATTAATTTGCTTATTGAATGCTAAATTATTACCTTTTTGTTTTCTTTAATGTTAAAAATTTTGGTATCACATATATTAAAAGCTAGAGAAAGTGCTTTAGATATAACATAAGTATAAAATATTTTCAAGTATAAAAAACTATTACTCGTATCAATCTATTATATATATATATATATATATACTATAAAAACCTATATACATTATTTGTTATAACTATATTATTTTTAGATTTTTATTTCTCATCTTGATTGTGGTTTAAAAGCTAAATTAAATTCTGCTTTAAACATTTCACGATAGTAGCTTTCTTTAACAATTTCCATTTCGGGTACACCATCTTCTTTACATTTATTCACATATAATTTGTGCATTGACGCTATACTTAATCCATAATCAAGATATTTTAATTCATTTGGATCTTTTGAATTTTGTAATTTTTCCGTGGGAAATGATTTAATATGTTCGCGTATACGATTGCGGACAATTTCACTTTTTTTACTTTTTGGCGTATGTCGACCACGTTGATCGGGACCTATTATTCCACCTGGTGATGAACGTTTTTTATCCATTGCATGTCGTACAAATTTTTCCGACACTGAAAATGTACTTAAAAACATACATTTACAAACAGTTATAAATTCACCATTTATTAATAATGAATATGTAAATGTAATTTGACGTCGATTTTCCCCTTTCATTTCGCCTCGACATCGTGTTCGTTGTTTTGGCGATTCTTTAACTAATAATGCAATATATTGCTTTCGTTGTTCCCATGTGCATGTCTTCCAAAAAACACTATGCAATTGTTGACGTGAAATTTCATTTATTTTTTCATTACAACGCATTCGACAATCACATGGTGGTCCCATTACTTTTGCCGGTACTACTTTTCCTTTAAAAAAAAAAAAAAGATATAAATTATTCATACTTTAAAAAATAGTCTTTATAACTTTACCTCCAACGCCAATATATTCTTCTCCTTTTAATCTTGCATTTTTCTTAACGTTCACCTTCCATTTTTCAGGATGTTTCGAACGTTTTATTGTATCTTTTGCTTTAGTTGACTTAATTTTTTTTATTGCTTTAATTTTTGTTCCCTTTTTAAGATTCTCCTCTGAATTTTGTAAAATTGATGATTGTGATTCGACAATGTGTTCTAGAAGTTTATTTTTGGAATAAATAGATTTTTTTATTGAAATTTTTTGTTTTTTTTTAATAAAACGAAGAATAATTTACCTAATAGTGAATAAGAAGAAATATTACTTGGACCTTCTTCTTGACGTAATTGAACAGAGGAAACAGTCGTTGCCTCACGCCACCATTGTGTTGCTATTTAAATTTAAAATAAAATTAATATTTTTTATTATTATTATTAAAAATTAAAAATCTTTCTAGATTGTAAATTTAAAAAATCTAAAACGGTTTTTGATACATAAAATTAAAAGCTTGAATAAAATTATTTTTGCGAAAAATTGGTGTAAGCAATATTTTTTATCATGAGATAAACTTACTGATATCATTATCAAATTTGTTGTATGAAGTTTGAATTTCCTGTTGATTAAGAGGAACAACTAAATTTCTCTCATCGTACCAAGATTCTTCCCTTTTAAAGGTTTCTTCATCTTGATTCTCAGAATTAATATTTACCACCGCTTGCTCCATTTTCTACTTTACAAATTGATTTTTGCATTAATATATAAATATCTAGTACTGTAATTTGAGATCATCTACAAAAATAGAGGAAACATTTTTTCAAATATAGTTATCTATTATTAAAAAACCTTTAAATTTACATTTTTTTTTTGTATACGAACCTGAATATTATGATGGGCGTAAAAAATGTTTATTCTCTTTTAGAGGTTATGTTCGTTTTCTTCATTTTTTTTCTCCAACAATTGTGTTATATATTTAATCGATTTTCAATCGCATACAAGGTAGATGTTTATTATTTAAGCTTTCTTAATTCTCACGATCACATTGGGATTCACATTTGACGTCACAAATCTCATTTACTCCAAAACTAGTATTCTTCTCATTGCACGTCAACAACGTTATACGTTTAAACTCAAAACACTTCGATATTGAAAACAAAAAAAAAAAAGTGAATTTTATTTATCGAAAAACTTATTTCCTGATGATATTTCTTGTTTTATTGAATTTCATTAATTTTTCAAAGTAAATAAATGTCAAATAAAGTGATTAGAAAGCCACTATATAAACACTGGAAATTGCGTATTGTTTACAAGCGTTTACGTAAGTTTTTAAAATGGGCTGTGTTCTCAATTTTTATTATAATATATTAGGATTTTTGGTTTTTTTTTTAAATAATATGTAAATTTCTTTTATTTTTATGAAAATATTTTAAAACATCAAGTTAATTTTTTAAAATTCTTTTTTTTATCATTTAAAAGAGATTTGATATTTTCCCCGATAGATGGTAGCACCTACTCGCTAAAGTAGAGTAACAAATAGTTTCAGTTTCTTCCACTAGAGTGACAAACAATGAGTTAATTGAATTTTATCTAAAAAAAAAAGAAAAATCTTCCTCTATCCTAAATTTTTTAATGCCGGTTCAAAAATGTCTTTAATTTCCAATAAAGAAAATGATCATTAATTATTTATGAAATTTCGGACATAATGTAGTGAAAATTGTTGTGTAGTGTCTTCTTTTTTTTAAATTGTGTTGTATTGATATATTTTGAGGTTATAATAGTGAAAGGATTTTAATTCAAGGTAAGAAACACGTAAAGAGAATTTATTTGTCTTCATTTATTATTCATTAATGATTTATTATGCCGATTTTGTAAAATGTCAAGTGAACTAATTGTGTTACTATATGTAATTACAAAAATTTTAATATAGTTTATAAAATTTATAATTTGCTATTAATTTCAAGTATAAAAAACATTTATAAATACGCTTTAATTTTAGCTGTACTGATTTATTTTGCTTTTATCTGTACAAATAACACGTGCTTTTTGTTTATTTATATATATATATATATTTAATTAAAAGTTATATAACAATGTTTACATATAGTATTTTAGTCTCAAAAGAGTTCATATTTCATTTGTGTCGTCTGAACTTTTTTGTATTCTAAATTAAAAATTATTTTCTATAATTTTTGAAGGGAGTAAAATTATTTATGCTTTTTACAATGATAGATTGTTACATTCACATATAGGTAACCTTGACGTTCTTGTCATGGTGTTTTTTTGTTTACTTTCAAGGTCTTTTTTTTGAGATTGAAAAAAAATGAAAATATAATATCTCATGATTCTATTTTATAAATTTATTATAATTTTAAATATTCATGAATATCAGCTTTTTAAATAACTATTGTGAATTACTTTTTTTAAAGTTTAATATTTTAAATGTATAAAAATAAAATTATTTATGCCTTATTTTTTAAAGTATAATTTATATAGTTCATATTGTTGAAAATAAAATTTTTTATTTATTATATTTTCATGGCCTAGGGTCACAGAAAAAATCTGATTTCTCTCTAACTCCTTCGATAGCTCAGTTGGTAGAGCGGTGGACTGTAGTTGGTTTGTTAAGAAATAGTAATCCATAGGTCGCTGGTTCGAATCCGGCTCGAAGGAATATTTTTTTAATTATATAATTATAAATATGTTTTTTTTATATTTTCCACAATTTTTGTGAAAATCATTTTTAAGATCTCCTAAATAAATAGTAGAAACAAAAAAAAAATTATTTGATTTAAATACTCGATTACTTGACTATTATATTAAATAAATAATTATTTTTATCAAATAATAATAATTATTTTTTAGATGGTATTTGTTTCAAAAATACAGAAATTATTGGTTCAAATAAAATTTATTTAATTCAAATAAAAATTATTTGGTTCAATAATTATAAATATATTTATTTGATATAATAGTCAAGTAATCGAGTATTTGAATTAAATAAAAATTTTTTTTTTTTAGTGTCACAATAATTTTTCCCAAAGAAATTTTTTTTATTAATTCTGGGCCCTTAATAATTTAATTGCTGACTAATTATTTATTTTATTAAAAAAAATTTCCCTAAATATTTTTGAAAAATAATTTATTAATATTAAAATAATTAACAATAGCAATTTTTTTTTTTTTTTTTTGTTTATTTTTAAATATATTTAAAAAGTTGACATAGTCTTCTTGTGGCGGAAGATTAAGTAGTTCTTGAGTACGATTTCTTACGCCATTGACGGTGAAAAATGGGTTTTCGGGTGGAATAGAACCGTTGGGAACTCGATGTCCTGGCAATGCATTTTCACGAGGTATTTTCACTGTAAATGGTGACATTGGCAAAGCGGTCAATTTTCCGCAACGTTGTCCTTTAAACACACACACACACACAAAATCTACATTCACGCTCGCGTTTCTCTCGTTTGTATATTTTACTTGGAATAATGCTATCTCCAAATATCTTGGCAGTTTACATTTGTGTATATAAAAAATTCTAACTTATTCATTGAACAAAAAGAAAAAAAAAAAAATATTATTTTGATTCAAATAATTTGTTACTTGACTATTATCAAATAAATATTTATTTGAATCAAATAATTTTTATTCGAATCAAATAAAGTTTATTTAAATCAATAATTTTTGTATTTCAAATAAATAAAAATAATTGACTCAAATATTAATTATTTGATGCAAATAAATAATTATTATAAAAAAATTTTTTTTTTATTATCGTCATTATTTAAATCAAAATAAATTTTTTTTCTAAACCAATAGATAATACATCCAGAGAAATGATTTATTTGTACCAAATAAAATAATATTTGAGTTAAATAAACGTATATTTGTCTCAGAGCCTACTAACTTATTTTTATTTGGCGTAAATAAAAATTTTATTTGTCAGAAATAAATTTTTCTTTGGCTCAAATAAATTATTTATTTCAATGAAATAAAAATATATTTGCAACAAATAAATGAGTTAGTAGGCTCGAAGACAAATATACCATTTCTGTATTCAAAGGGATTTGGAAATAAAATTTTCAAATTTTACAAAAGTTTTCAAAAAAAAAAAAAAAAAAAAAAAAAAAATAGTTTTGCAAATTTTAGAGCTATTAATATATATTTTAATTATATTTAAGTAGTGTGCAAAGTTTTCCTTTTAAAATTGTTAAATTGAAAAATGTCGTTCTAAAAAGTGATAAGGTATGTAAATATTTCATTGTTTAACTTTAATGACAATCTATAAATCATCAATTAATTCAGTTTTTCCTTTTTTTGAAACGTATAAAAACCCCTTGTGTTTTAAATCGAACAATTACTTTTCAACAATCATCTTTAAAGTTCATTTGATATTGTAAGTATAAACTATAAATTATATTTATAAAATTTTGTTTCACAAAAAAATTTAAATTTATTTATTAAATATATATATATTTTTTTTTTTGCTTTTTTCATTGATATACATTTAATTTTATAATTGTATTATTCATTTGTTAATATTTATTTATACACCCAGAGAAATGATTTATTTGAACCAAATAAAAATATATTTGAACCAAATAAAAATATATTTGAGTTAAATAAACGTATATTTGTCTCAGAGCTTACTATTAACTTATTTATATTTGGCTGTAAATAAAAATTTTATTTGTCAGAAATAAATTTTTTTTTGGCTGAAATAAAATATATTTGCAACAAATAAATGAGGCTCGGAGACAAATATTACCATTTGTCTGAGTGCGTATCTTATATTTTGTTATTTGATTGTTTATAATTATTTATTTTATTTTCTATTATTTGTTTAGAAAACATACAAATAAAATGTCAAAACTTTTATCAAGTGGAATTTTGTTACTATTAATTGTAACAATTTTAATGTTGATGGCACCTTCAGTTATGGGGTGCATTAAAAATGGAAAAAGATGTAAATCCAATGGAAGTATGGGAAATTGTTGCTCTGGATTTTGTCTACAACAACCACGTCAGAAATATGGAAAATGTCAATAAATAATAATTTATATTGTCATTTGAAAATCTTATAAAAAAAAAAATTAAATGTCAAATATTTAATTTATATATTTTTTTTCTCAAAATTAATAATTATTTAATTAATTATAATATATATTAGAAATCAATAAAAATTATTGCATTCCAATTGTATGTGTTATATATTTTTTTTCTAAAATTCATATATTTATACTCGTATTAATTAAAATTCAATATAAAACAAAAAATACACTATAAAAAAATAATAATAATAATAATGCGTTACTTTACTAAATTATCACATAAATTTTTATTTGGACTAGATAATTTTTATACTTGAATCAAATAAATAGTTTTTGAATCACTTATTTCTGTATATATATATATATATATATATTTAATTGATAATATTTAGTCAAGTAATCGATTATTTGAATCAAATAAATTTTTTTCAGTGTATTTTTTATGAGCTTAGAATATTATAAAGACTACATCCAGAGAAATGATTTATTTGTACCAAATAAAATATATTTGAGTTAAATAAACGTATATTTGTCTCAGAGCTTACTAACTTATTTATATTTGGTGTAAATAAAAATTTTATTTGTCAGAAATAAATTTTTCTTTGGCTCAAATAAATTTTTTATTTCAATGAAATAAAATATATTTGCAACAAATAAATGAATTACTAGGCTCGGAGACAAATATACCATTTTTCTGAGTGTATGAATTTTTTTTTTGCGAAGAAAAAAATATATACACCCAGAAAAATGATTTATTTGAACCAAATAAAATATATTTGAATTAAATAAACGTATATATTTGTGTCAGCACCAATTATAGACTTTTTATTTATTTTAAATAAAAATTTTATTCAACATAAAATATATATATATATTTGAGTCAAATAAAATTTTATTTAAATCAAAAAAAAAATTTATTTCAAACAAATAAAAAGTTTAGTTGAAACAATTATATATCTTTTCTCTGAGTGTAGTATATATATCTAAATAAAACGCAATTTGAGAAATTGTTTACATGAAATATAGGATAATGTATGAGTAAAAAAAAACATGAGGAAAAAGTGATAATTCTTAAAAAACATTGGTAATTAACATTATGTTTTCTGTCTTTATTTTTCCTTAAACAATGAAATTCATTTCGATTAATATATGTTCTAGCGCAGTTTAAATAATAATTAAAACTTACGGTGACGTATCTTAAGTACCATTTTTTATAAATTAGTTTCCTCTTAGCTATATATATATATATATATATATATATATATATATATATATATATATATATATTTATATAATTTTTATCTAATAATCAGTTTTCTAAACGTTTATTCAATGTTGATTAGTATAGTTTTCCATAAATTTGTATATATAATTAATTTCGATATAACAAATGTATAGATCTTATTTTATTGAAGGAGAATAATTTTATGGACAAATTTTTTTTTTTTTTTTTTTTGATTATGTTTGGGCAAAAAATTGATTTAATAAGAAATTTTTATTTGGATAATTCAAATATAGAACACCTTAAGGTACAAATGACTTTATAGAAAATACTAATTTCGTAAAAATTGGGAGATTTTTTTTTTTTATTTATTATTGTAGATAATATAATATAATTATAAAAACAATTTCTTTATTGTTGTATTGAACTTGATGTAATAACAGAGTGATTAGCTGCGTGTAAAAATGGGGGGAAAAAAAAACTAGGGGTCGTGAATAGAATAAATGTAATTTTTTTTTTTTATCTATTTATCGATAGCCTTCGAATAATTAACTGTTATAAAATTGCGCAATTTTCTTAGTATATAAAAGCTTCTTGCATTTCTGTTTCTTTACTTTATTTCCTCAATCTTCGTCAATAGCGGTAAGTACATACACTGCCTTTTATTTAAAACTAGAATTTTATAATAATTTATTTAATTAAATAATTTTATTAATTTATTTATTCATTGTTTATTAATTTTATATATACAATTTGTAATTATAGTGAAATCTCTATAAAAATGTGGAATTTAATTTAATAATAAAATAATTAAAATTAAAAATTAATAAAATAAATAATACCAAAATAATTTAAATTAATTTTTAATTTATTTTTTTCATACTTTTAGAGAATAAAACAAAATTGTATATTTATTATAGTTTTTTTTTTTTTTTTTTTTTTTTTTTATTTGATATTACAGAAATAACGAAAATAAAATGGCCAACTTTAAATCGACTGCTGTTCTTTTATTGATCATTGCATCAATTATAATGATGACAGTACCTTCAGCATTGGCAGAAGATTGCCTTGCCTTAGGTGCACCATGCCAATATACTGGAGAAATGGGCAACTGTTGTTCTACATTTTGTTTACAACAACCAAAAGAATCAACGGGAAAATGTGCAAATAGATCATAAAAATAAAATCTTATAACTGTTGACAAAAAATTGTTTTTTTGCGACGAAAAATGATTTTTTAAAGGTAGTAAATTTTTTATTTTTCACTATATTGATTTTTCTTTTTTGCAAAATTTCAAAAATTGTATTTAAAACTAATGTAAAATAAAGAAAATATAAAAAAAAAAAAAATGGTAAGCTTTGTAAATAATATTAATAATTTTACATTTCTTTGAAGCAAAGAAATCTTTTCTTTCGGTGAAAGAAATGAAAATAAAATTATTAAATAGAAAAATTTCTATTTAATAACGCGTTTTTTTTTGTTTCGTTTTTTTTTCGAAAAAGAAGTGGAAAATAATTTTTTTGTTTAATTTGCGCAAAGTGCTTTCATGAGTATAATGGTTACTGTTTGTTTATATATATACAATTTTATATTGTATAGATGAATTTCAATAATTTCAGAATGCTACTGCCAGGAACGTGGTTTCATTTTGTTCTGGTTGACCGATTTGCAAAACAATTTCAATCGTGAACAAAATGCTATTTGGACGTTTGAATTGTTCGTTGCGTGCATAACGCTCGATTACGCTTTTACAAATGTTCATATATAGCGAGCGAGCGCGGATAATATTCCATCCGAGTTAACGCGACGGATCTCATATCATTCGAGTTATTACCGCATTTATTTCACCGCGTTGAAACCAGCATGAGACCCATATGTACTCGGCAACTATGCAATTCAACCCTGTTAAAAAATTTAACTGATTTATGTTTAAAGATAGTTTCACTATCATAAAATGGAAGATTCCACCTATTTTAGATATTTATATATATAAACATGTATTATATTCCTTTTGATGATAATTTAAATTATTCAGAAATAATTCAGAAAAATTTGATTTTTTGATGCCGTATGGCACTTTTTAAATATTAAACATGAGGGATATAATATTTTTTTAAATACAAGATTAAAACTTATTTTTTTTTTAAAATCGATTACCGGCACAGAAATCTACATTACCGACTGATGGTCAAATTTTTTTCAAAATTAAAAAGAATTCTTCCTCTTCACCATCAGTCGGTAATGTAGATTTCTATGTCGGTAATTTTTTATATCATTATTTTCCTCCCGTTTTACCATCAGTCGGTAATGTAGATTTCTATATTGGCAATTTTTTTTATCTCATCATTTTGCATGCTTTTCTGTGCAGGTAATCGATTTTTATTTAAAAAAAATAATTGTTAACCTTGTATAAAAAAAATATTACTTTTTTTTTTGATTTAATATTAATAAATAAATATATATCTACTCTTGAAAAAAAAACACATACTCTCTTACTGTGAAGATTATTTTTCAAGTATCTTCAACCATGAAGCGAGTCTCGTAAACAATGAGCAATCTAGAAAAGTAATCGAGTTTTTGCCAACAGAGAAAGTTTGCATATATTTTCGCCAATTTGAAAATATTGCCTCACTATAACTTTATTTCTTTTTTTTTACTATCAACATAATGATATATATATTGTGAAATACTATTTTTATTATAGTAATAATCTTAATAAAAACAAAATTAAAGATTATAAAATAATTAAAAAGAAAGGAAATAGAATATAATAATTTAGAAGTGGGTTTTGACTAAGTGTTATTTTATTTTTAAAACTTTTGTGGATTTGACCTACAATCACTATTCCGAATTTTCAGGTTACTTTCTTATTTTCCATTGTGGAAATATCCTAAAATGATTTAAATTTAGGTTATGTTGCCCTCTTACCATATTTTCATTTAATAATTTAATCATGCACCCCAAAAAAGAAAAGATACGCACAGATAGAAAAAGTTTACGAACTATTTGCTGTCACAGCAAATTACGTTAGCTAATATATAGGGACAGCGAACAAATTTGTTGTGGGATCAAAAAAATTTGCTGTTTAAATTTTTTAAAAATTAAAACTGATATTATGTGTATCACAGCAAATATTTTTGTTGTCATAGCAAAAAATTTAGCTGTGGTTACTAATTTTGATAGATCTAATAGCTTTTTTATATCATCATTTTCCTCCCGTTTTACCATCAGTCGGTAATGTAGATTTCTATATTGGCAATTTTTTTTATCTCATCATTTTCATGCTTTTACCATCAGTCGATAATGTAAATTTCTGTGTAGGTAATCGATTTTTATTTTTAAAAAAATAATTTTTAACCTTATTGTATTAAAAAAATATTACACAATATCAGTTAGCATCTGTAAGCAATTCCTTTTTTTTCCATATAATAATGAAATAAACGAAAGTAATTTAAATAAGAAAATAAAATAAAAACAAATTCATTTAGAAAATATATTTGTATAATAAATAAATTCTATAATTTATTTAGATCTTCAAACCCTTTTGTTTTTTTTTAAAAAAAGGAATTTCATTTATTGTTCTCGAACTTCAAAAGCTTCTTTGAAGTGTATATATATATAGGTAGAAGGAAAATGATCAAATCCCAGTGGATTCTAATGATAACATTACCAAACATGTTCAAGAATTTATTTCGAAAAGTGCTCGAGGGGATTAGTAAATTCAAGGGTTGCAATGTTGTATATATAGAATATAGAGTGAGAGAGAAAGAGAGAGGTGGTGACGTTGAGACGTTGATAATAACGTGGTGAGTTTACTACGTGGTCCCTGAATCAACCCCGTTCCATGCACTCGTGACCATCATTTACAACCTAATACGTGTGCTACTTGTATTCCATTATACAATCCATTTAGAAGGCACTAACACGTGTTTCCAAAATCAACCACCTCCCCCTCTTGTCATACACATCGATAACATTTTGGTTATAAAACATTAATAATACCATTTCGAAAACAAATAATAAACTCCCACAATCATCATGGTATTATTATGTCCTTATCAAACATTGACGATTTATTTCATCTCTTCATTTCAAGAGGTTTTCATTCAATTCATTTTCGAATTGAATTTCATTTTCAACTTTCAACTGATATGGAATTCAAGAAAAGGAATTTAGAGTTTGTATAGTCTTTTCTTTTTTCTTTTTTGCAAATCTTAATAGGAAATAGATTTTAGAGAAGAAATCTTATTAAAAGACTCCTGTTTCGGACCTTAAAGTTGTACCCTCGGGAAAATCGAGTGTTTTAATCTCGTTACGCTGCTGACAAAAGGATCGAGAAAGGAAACCTTACGGTTGGTTCTGCACATCGACTTCCTCCTTTATTTTCCTTTGTCGCTCGTTCTTATTAACTTCATCGACAAGAGAAGAGAAACAAAAGGAATAGGGAGAAATTCAACTTCTTATATATATATATATATATATATATACATAGTTTCAAACAGAAGGGTGATTTTAGTATCTCAGTCTTGTTCCTTATATATTATTTTTGAGCATTAACCAATAATATTCAGAACAAAAGAAATGATTTGAAAATTAATTGCAAAAGAATTTGGTTCAACATCAATCCCTTTTTTGGGTATTTAAATTTTTTTCTGCCTCAAACTTCGTTGAGACAAGGAGAATTTTTGTTTGTAAAGTATTTGGGACAATCAAAATTTTGTTGAGGCGAAATAAAAAATGTTTTTTTTTTTTTTTTCAAAATCAAACCCTTTTTTCAGTGTGCAATTTTTAATGTTAGAATTAAAGTTATAAATTAGTTACACACATGCTAAGGATATAATGAAATTCCTAACTTATGTACGACATTAAACGTCAGTCACAAGCTAATTTACAGGCAAGTGACAGGTACAATTACTTACAGAGCCATAAACTTGTAGTATATACCGAGAGTTCTGGGGAAAATAGCTTAGCTTTAGTTTCCTATGTGTTGTGCGTTCTCTTAGTGCGTTTATGGTCTGTATACACATCGCTTGAGTCACAACAACTATCTACGATCCAGTTGTGCTTTGTCGCAGATTAACTTAATAGTTGCTTCATGTCTACTCAAGCGAAATTTTAAAAATTTCTTACAAATGGCAAAATTTTAGCCAATTTTTATTCCATTTACACTTTTATATGTAAAAAAGAAAATGTTTATATTCTTTTTAGTTCTCTGATAACAATAATCTAATGTAAATATCGAAAGCTCGCACAAAAGCCAAAAATCCATAAGATGGAAAGCGCTAAAGCCGAATTGAACAATTCTTTCTAGATAAAGTCGATGTGGAGTAATGGTTGGAAATTCGTAGGATTTAGTTTGAAATCGTTAGATCTTTAGATTTTCTGAACACCATTAGTAATCACTTGATTATTATCTGGGAATAAATTACGATTTACAAAAATTAAAGCAAAAATTCTTGTTAAACATCTAATTAGATATCAAAAAATTATTAAAATTAAAAAATATATTGAATTGATGTTCAATTATAGTTTTGATTTAGAAAGTAGTTCTCTTTTAAAAATCAATCTAATTATCTATTTTTGAACAAACTTTCAGTTGGCCATACTCTTTGCACGGATATGTGGAAAAAAAGTTAGAACCATACAATTTTTATAAAAGTAAAGTTTATAACTTTAAGATACTCGGTAAAAGTTTTGCACAACTCAAATTGTCTTAAAAGCATTGATATCGATTAAAAATATCATCCGTATATGAAGAATAACTTATTTAAACAAGACGTTGAGAAAAAAAGACAATAAAACATAGGATCGGTTTTTGAAAAGTGTAAGATCGAAGAAAAGGAAATTATATTGATACTCGCAACAGGAAAAAAAAAGGAAGTGAATGGAGAAGTAATGGCTCAGAAAGCAGAGGCAATGTGCGATGCAGGTTGGATAGAAGTTTGATAAAAGCATCAATAAATAACCTAAAAGCAACGTAGACCCTTCTCTTTCAACTTTTATTGTTGATCTAACCATGTTAACGCTTTGCGATTTCTTCGCTATACCCAACATTACACAATACATCACGATCCCTTTAAATCTACTTTAGTTCCAATTCAATTTTCAAAGTCTATGAAAACTTCACATGTACTTTTCTTGATTTTTAAATAAAAAAACCAAATTGATTAAAAACATTTTTGATATTAAATATATATTTTCTTTAAATTTATATAATTCTTTTATTTTTCCATATTAATTACATTGGGATTTGTATATATATAAAAATGAAAAAGATATTTATGAGCCATCATTTATTGAATATCAAACATTAAAAAAAGAATTGACATTTTACAAGAGATGTAATTGTTATTTAATTGAGACAATGATAAATTTGAAACGGAAATTAAATGTGAGTGTTAAATGATAATGATTATAAAAAGAGAAATTCTCTTTTGCGAAAAAGATTGCTAATCTTTAGTATAATTAGGTAGCACACATGTTAATTAAGATAAAAATTACAGACTCAAGCCAGTACATTGAAACAACTAGAGCACAACCTGATTGGCATAAAGAATAATGTGACCTTGACTAAAAGTGAGAAAGAACTTTTTTTCAGGTCAAACGAGACAAATTCAACAGTTTATTGTACATTGATTCGTGAACACAAATCACAAATAGAAGATCTCAATAAAATGCTGAATTGGTGGATAGAATTTGATAATATGCTTGAAGAATTTAGATCAACTGAACTCAATATCCAGAATAAAGTACGAAATAAGTTTTTCATATTAGTTTTTTTTTTTGCAAAAACAATTTCATTTTTTCGTTTTTCAAATTGGAAATAACTCCATTTATTGATCAAGTTGTCATGATGAGTATTATCAAGATTTTTATATAAATGACTTTTGACAGTTATCTGATCTTAACTCGATTGTTTGCTGTATGACTCGAAAAACAAAGGATTTCGAGGAATTCGAAGTGGCAGAGGAAAACTGTGTCCACCAAGAACGAAAACAATTCTTACAAAGATCTAAAGAACGTCGAACGATCTTAAAGGATTTTGTGAATGTAAAGAATTTTTATTTTCCTTTAGGAAAAAAAATTCTTTACTAGAAAGGGAATTTTTTCATTTTAATTTTACATTTCTTATATATATATATATACAACAAAATTTTTGGAAAAATAATTTGCGATACACATTGAAAAAAAAATTAAATGCTGTTTTGAAATTGCAAATTTTTTTTTTACGTTTGACCACTGAATTTACGGAAACTCTTGTTTAGTCTTACTTGAAGTCTGAGGAACGGGATCACTTGATAAGAGAGGACAGAAGAATGAGAGAAAAGACACTCGACAAAGAGCGACTGATGGACAGAGCAGCTTTGAAACTCGCTTTAAAGCGGATGATGTGGATAATGGGTGCACCGGAAATTCAGAAGACGTCTAGCTTGACAAAGGAAGAAAAATCACCATCTCAAATCAATATGACAAAAAGCAAAGTTTTATCTGAGTTTACGGAACAGTTGCAAAGTAATTTTTTTTCTAACATTTATAATAATTAGATTATTATTGTCACAACAAAGTAAAACAGTCTACAGACTTTCATCGGACTACTGTCTGCAAAAAGTCTGATGATTTAAAAATGAACAATTTTTTTTGAACCACAACAGTCTGTTGTAAGTCTGCAAACTTTTACTTGAGATTATCAGTTGGAAAATTAATTTTTTATTAAAATTATATTAATAATTTAAAAATAATTTATAAAACATACAATATCTGGTGTCGTAAGAATAATAGGGAAATGTGTTGCATGCAAGGACTAATTTCCAGTTTCCAATTTCGAATTTAAATATATATATATATATATGCATCTTATATATCTAGATATCTGTAGTTTGAAGAGGCACGCAATAGTTTCTAGGAATTGTCGTGACGATATTGAGTTTTCGAAGAGAAAGGAAGATTTGAATCTAATGGTTGAGAAGATGTTGCATCCATATAATAATGAATGTGAATGTAATTTAAAATTTTCTTCACATGCAACTCTAAACAAGTCGATCACTGTTCAAATCGACAATCCTCAGAATGTTTTAAACTCGAAGAAATTTTCATGGTGGAAGAGAACTAAAAATAAGATTAGAAAAAAAAAAAACAAGAAGATGACTCCATATGGAGGAAAGACCGCAAGCGTCTAAAAATATGTGAAGGCGGCATCTTTCAAGTGACTTTTACTTTTTTCTTTAGTTTAGTTCTATACTTATTTTCTAACCTTCCACAGATATGAAAAAAGTTTTATTTCACTTCTACACGTGGCAGAATATTTTAATAAAAAAAAATTTTTAAATTGCATGCACAATTCTTTTTCTTGTTTTTTTTTTTTTTTAGAAACATATATGATTCAAAAAAGAAGTTTTTGATGTTTACAATAAAGCAAAATGTCAATAACGGACAGGAAAGTCAGGAAAATTTTTTTTTAACTTTTCTAGAATTTATGATTGATTAATAATTCGCGAATTCCATGATCTAATTACGCTAATTCTGTGAAGTAGTTGCGCGTAATCCGTGACCTATTTTCGCGAATTCGACAACCTAATTTCGTGGAATCAGTGACCCAGTTTAGCGTAATCCGTAATCTAGTTTTACGAATTACGTGATCAAGTTTCGCGAAATCCGTGACCTAGTTTTGAGTAACCCCTGATCTAGTTTCGTGATTTCCGTAACCTAGTTTCTACGAATTCCAAGACATTATTTCGCGTAATCCGTGATTTAATTTCTGGAATTCCACGACCTAGTTTCGTGATTTCCGTGATCTAGTTTCTACGAATTCCAAGACCTTATTTCGCGTAATCCGTGATTTAATTTCGGGAATTCCACGACCTAGTTTCGCAAAATCCGTGATTTAATTTCGGGAATTCCACGACCTAGTTTCGCGTAATCCGTAATCTAGTTTTGCGAATTCCGTGATCTAATTTCGCGAATTCGACGACCTTATTTCCCGTAATCCGTGATGTAATTTTGCGGAATCCGTGACCTAATTTCACGTAATCCGTGATCTAATTTCGAGTATTCTGTGACCTAGTTTCGCGAAATCCGTGATCTAATTTCACGTATTCTGTGATCTAGTTCCTCCTAATCCGTGATCTAGTTTCTACGAATTCCACGACCTTATTTCGCGTAATCCATGATGTAATTTTGCGGAATCCGTGACCTAATTTCACGTAATCCGTCATCTAATTTCGCGTATTCTGTGACCTAGTTTCGCGAAATCCGTGATTTCATTTCGGGAATTCCACGAACTAGTTTCGCGTAATCCGTAATCTAGTTTTACGAATTACGTGATCTAGTTGGGCGAAATCTGTGACCTAGTTTTGAGTAACCCCTGATTTAGTTTCGTGATTTCCGTGATCTAGTTTCTACGAATTCCAAGACCTTATTTTGAGTTATCCGTGATTTAATTTCTGGAATTCCACGACCTAGTTTCGCGTAATCCGTAATCTAGTTTTGCGAATTCCGTGATCTAATTTCGCGAATTCGACGACCTTATTTCGCGTAATCTGTGATGTAATTTTGCGAAATCCGTGATCTAATTTCACGTATTTTGTGACCTAGTTTCGCCTAATCCGTAATCTAGTTTCACACGTAATCCGTGACCTAATTTCACACATTGGAGTAAAAGTTTAGAATAAGTTATGAAAACATCAGGGTATTGTTCTCTTAATTTTGTTAGATACCTATGGTAAAATTGAATTATGACAATTTGTTTACATGAGTATTTAGAAGATGTGTAACATTTTGGATGTAAAATGAATGTTTGTATTGCGTTAATTTATGTACTGGCCTTGATTGAGTGCAAGAGTAAAAGGAAATATTTACTTTTGAAGGGCAAACTTTTACCGATTGGAATTTTGTACTCAAAGACAGGGAGAGAGATAGGGACTATGTTGACTGTACGCTTGGCGAATTATAGTTGGGGGGGGGGGGTGATGCAATTGAACGTTGATTAGTGCACGTTCAAGACACCTTCATCCTCTTCGTTATAACCACGGTTTTACGTTAATTGCATCCAAGTACGTATTACTAGTTTGCTTATTGTGTCTTTAGTATTTTTTTTTTTTTTTTTTTTTTTTTTTTTTTTTTTTTTTTTTTTTTTTTTTTTTTGCTTTGAAAATGTGTAATTTTTACTTTACTGTTTATATTTAATTGATAAATTCTTTTTGCTTTGTCAGTAAAAAAAAAAAATTTTACCGTATAAGGTAATTATCATTTTTTAAACTAAGGCGTCATTTCTCATTGAGGATTGTTAATGACTATCGTTATTACTTCCAGTGTAATTTTCTCCTTTTTCTCGAATCATAATCATTCTCATATTGCTTACAAAAACTTAGGTAAAATCAACTATACTCGTTCTTCAATGTCAAGTATTTACCTGTATAGTTAGATAGCTTCACTCAAAAAAAAAAAAAGAGAAGGAAAAGGAAGAGAAAAATCGGGACAAGGGAATATCGACGGAAATGAGATGAAGATAGATGGATGAGAAAGAAAATGGTGGAGAAATGAGAAGATACGGAAAAATCTCACTGTCTTGAAAACAACAACTGTACCATTAGCCGCGCGCAACTTCCATTTGTTTTTTTTTTTTTTTTTTTTGTTTTTCGATAGAGGAAAAGCATTTTATTTTTAGACAACAGAAAGGCACTAGATCTGCTTTTTCTCGTGTTAGAAAATGAAAACAAATTACGTGTGTAAACAGCTTGAACTCATTGTTCTTATCGCTTCATGATCCATCTTGTTCGCACGTGTGTAACATATTATGTCTTATATTGTACTTTTCGTTTGAAAAAAGTGTAATTAAGATTTTAAACTTGTATTTTATGTTCATAAAAATTATAATTTATGAGATGTATTTGTTAATATATTTATTATTATTCTTTTTTGATCCATGTATTTTTTTTTTAAGTTTTGCCATTTACATTTTTTTGTTTAAAATGACGAAAATTACAAAATTTTGCGAAGTTTGAATAAATTTCATTGAAAACATTTTCCAATGTTCACGATTAGAGAAGGGCATTATCACGATTGAATTGTGTGTTTGCTCTTTACATTCGCGTAGATGATGTTGGTCACTGTAATTTGCGTGAAGCATTTCGCACACTATGGCGCCTCTCTCTCTCTCTCTCTCTTGTGAATCCGTTAAGCATTAACGGAGAACATGTCAGGATGGCAAGAGGAAACGAAGTGACAAAGCCCTAATGGTTGGGTTTGAATCGTTACAGGAAGAGAACGAAGCGAAATTACCGCGCGCTAGCTTCAATGATTACGAATCGCCTGCTTTCAAATCGATTCATCCAATTAGTGACCAAAATTGCCCAAGACAGAGAGAGGGTTATTTCAAAAATTATCATTATCAACAATTTATTTTTCATTTCCATTAAAGCATATATTAAACAAATTTATGATGAATTGAAAAAAAAAATATCCAACCTCTTTAAAATCAGTGAAAAAGTATTTCACCTATTTAAAATTTTTGAAAATTAGTTTCCACTTGACAAAATTGTATATAAAATAACAAATCTAAGCATTTTGTAGAAATTGGAATAGTATATATAAATATACTTTTTAAAGAGTAGGGAGATTTATATTTTTGTCGAATACGCTCACTCCTCGTTTCACTTTTAGAGTGTTTATTTGAACGTAGGTGGTGCGTAAATTTCATTACCGTAACTCGTTTTAATCCAATTTTACCTCTCTGAGCTTGCGAACATTGTATAAACGCGGGCGCTTCGTGCGATTTCATTTTCCACTTTTTCTGTCTTACACGCGAAATATTCCTCTCGTGAAAAGGAAAAAGGATAGAAAAAGATTGTAAAATAGGCGAGAGGTCCATTTGTGTCATACATATACGAGTTTCCCTCTTGGACTCTATATTCCATTTTTTTTTTCACAATTCTTAACTGTAATGGAGTTTCAACATTTACTGTTTTATAAGCTGATTAAGGTATGGGGGGCATTTCACTCAGAAACTTATATATCTTCGTAGAAATTGCTTGGAATTTGATGGAAACATAAAATGACGAAGGGTATGAGGATAATTCCTATATTTTCTTTTCTTTAATTCAACTTTTATTATGTATGTCCATTTTTTGTTGCGGAGAGATTGTTTCATTTAAAAAAAAAATTAATTTAATTCCACAAAACATTTCCAAAGTTGGTAATGCAGATCATTTACATTGTTTGTATAAGTTTTGTTTCCATTTGTATATATATATTAAGAATCCAACTCCTTTGATTCTTTTATTATGGTTCTTTCGCGTCTTTCCATTTACTGTCCTTTCATTTTGTTTACAGAGTTTAATTTTACGCTCTGTTTGAAAGAAAGGGAAGAAGCTTATTTCCTTCATAACTTTTTTTTCCCCTTTAATAATAGATATATATATTTTTTTTTTATTAAGTCAGAAGCTTCAATTTTCTTTTTTTATTGCATTTTTATAATTTATTTTTTTTCATTGTCACTTAAACAATTAGTTTATTGAGCAATTTATTAATTATAGATTTTATTCTCTTTTGTGTTTCAGATTTTTGAAACAAAAAAAAAAAAACTGTTTTGAAACAAGGATTTGAAAGGAGCTTGGATTTTTAATTTTGTTGATCATCCCCTTGTGGGATTAAATAATTCCCTGCTTCCCTCCTCTCACCATTTTAGATGGAAGAGAATTCAGAAGTAGGATTGGATCGCTATAAGCGTCCTTTGCGTTCAATCAACAATCATCAACCGGCTTATGTCAGATTTTGCAACACCACCCATCGGCATGTGCGCATTTATTGGCTTGATTTTAAGGGGAATACTGTTCGATTTTCAGATCTTTCATCATACGCACAATGGATTGATGTTAATACATTTGTTACACATCCTTGGATATTTTATGATGAGGAAACTGGAGAGAGGTACGTTAAACATCTAAGGAAAAATTAATATAAATTGTTTTTTTTTTTTTTTTATTATTATCTATAAAAGATGGAAAAATATAAATTATCCCTTCCCCATTCCGATGGAATTAAGAAGTAGCGCCACCTACTTCTGTTTTACCGACAGAACATAGATTAGAAACATATATATTAAAAATCGTTTGAGAAATTTAAAAAATTCTCCGCAATAATATATAATTAAATTGAAATAATTATTTATTAAATGATTATTTAAATAATTTATTTAAATAATTTACTGTCGCTTATAATATTTAATATTGCAATTGCAGATTGCACGCAAATTGCCAAGATGTATTTTATCCCGAATATCGAGCAATGATTGCAAATAGAATTCAAAGGGTTAATGTTGCAATAACATTACCCGTATTTAGTTTAAAGAAACTTTGTTTACGAATAATAAAAAAGCAATTAACAAAAGATCATGATGCATTTCTTTTGGAAATACCACGAAGTCTTCAATATGAATTAGCAATAATGCATCCACGTTTAGGAGTGAGTTGAAAAATTTTCTTTTTAAGTTCAAAAATAATTAAAAGAACATTACAATTTTTTTTTCTTATATTAGTTTTAAATTTTTCTCTTTTAATTTTTATAAACAGACTGGTGAAACATCATCCAGACATCGAAGTGGACATTCTTCGATCATGAAAAAATGATTAAAAAAATAGTATTTTAATTAAAAAAAAAAAAGATTTTAGAATGAAAATTGAGAGGATTTTTTAATGAAATTTTCCAATTTTAATTTTATTAAATAGAATTTTTATTGTAAAATTGAAGCTGCACATTATTATAAAGAATTTTTTCTTTTCAAAAATAGTTTATTTACAAAATGAAAGAGGGTTTTTGTTTATAATTAAAATGAATGTTCTTTATGTGAAGTTTTGCCTTGCTTTTCTTAATAATTTTGAGAATCTTGTTTTTGCTACAAGAGTTTTCCTGTCGCCGGTATAAGGTATTGTTTTTAGAAGCATCCTCGATGTAGAGAAAAAAGGAGAATGAAACGAAATAGGAAGCAACAGACGAAAGGGAACAAAAGAAAGTATAGAAAATGGTAAAGAAAAAAAAAGAAAGGAAAGGAAAAAGAGTGGTATAGCAGAATCAATATTAGTATTTGTTTGAACACGACGCGTCTCCAATTCCGATATATACCAAAGACACAGATTGAACTAGCTTTCGGCATAGTCTCGCAATATTCTTCTGCACTATATGCAACTATACGCCAATACTAACCATAAAACTTTATATTACACTGAAAAAAAAAAAAATTTATTTCATTTAAATAGTCAGTTACTTTACTATTATCAAATATTTACTTGAACCAAATAATTTTATGTTTTAATTAAATAAACTCTATTTGAACCAATCATTTTTTTATTTATGATTAAATAAAAAAAAATATGATAATTTTCATTAAAATCACCATTATTTTAATGATATTTTCCACACAAAAGCTTCTTCTTTTTCTTCTATAATAGCATTACGTCAACAGCTTTTTTTTCCATTTTCTGCAGTTTTCTTTTGGACGATCGTTTCGATATGGCCATACCAATTTTCTTATAAATTCCTTAACCTGCCTGAAAAGGTAGCTTTAACCCTCTAGAGGCTATAAATTTTAAAAAGGTTCTATAGTCTCTATATAATATTCTTATCCAAATATAATAGACATTGTTGAGAATTAAATATTGAAAATATTATTTTTTTGCTTTACTAAAAATTATTTCTAACTTGAAAAAAAATCATTAATTTTACTAAATAAGGTTTTATAAAAGATGCGTATTTTTTTTATAATTCTACGCTAAATTTTATTTTGATGCCACCTATATGTAAAACTATGTATATATAGGACGTTTACATTACTTAACAAACTGAATGAGAATCTAGATAGCCCAGCACACAATTAGTTACACTTCTTCACGCCTGGAATTACATTCTATCGATTAACTAATTAGACTGTCAGGTACAGAGTTCTGGAAACAATTTATCGTATTCTCAATTAAATTGTCTTTAAAAAAAAAAATGTGTGTAAAAGTTTCCTTGAATTCTAAATTAATTATATTTGCAATTTCGAAATATTAATTTCAAGAGAAATAAAATGAACGAATGCAAAGAAAGATTTTCAAAATTAAAAATGGGGCACTTTATTGCAGGTTTATTAGATTTCATTTTGGTTCATAGAATCATAAAAATATCATCGAATTTTTGCAAAGAAGAACTTTCTAGAAACCGTGTTCTGCGAGCTATTTCGCGAATTTCGTGTTTTGAAATCGCGAAATCCGTGTCTTAGTTTCGCGAATTTCATAATCTAATTTCGCGTAATTCGTAATTTAGTTTCAAAAATTTTACGACCTAATCTCGCGTAACCTGTGAACTAATTTTGCGAATTTCGTGACCTAGTTTTGCAAAATTCGTGATCTAGTTTATCGAATTTCGTGATCTAATTTCGCGGAATCCGTGACCTAGTTTGGCGAATTTCATGATCTAGTTTCGCGTAATCCCTGATCTAATTTCGCAGAATCCCTGACCTACTTTCGAGAATTTCGTGACTTTATTTCGCGTAATTTGTGATTTAAATTCGAGAATTACACGACCTAGTTTCGCGTAATTCGTTATCTAGTTTTGCAAATTACGTGATCTAGTTTTCCGAATTCCACGAGCTAATTTCGCAAAATTCGTGATCTAATTTCGCGGAATCTACGACCTACTTTCGCGAATATTGTGATCTCATTCCACGAATTGTGACCTAGTTTCGCGTAATCCGTAATATAGTTTTGCAAATTACGTGATCTAGTTTTCCGAATTCCAAGACCTAGTTTCGTAAAATTCGTGATCCAATTTTACGGAATCCGCGACCTACTTTCGCGAATATTGTGATCTCATTCCATGAATTGTGACCTGATTTAGCGTAATTCGTGATCTAATTTCGCGAATTCCGGGACCTAATTTAGCGTAATCCGTGGGCTAGTTTCGCGAACTTCGAGACCTACTTTGGCGAATTTCGCGTAATCCGTGATTTAAATTTGAAAATTCCACGACCTAGTTTCGCGTAATCCGTAATCTACTTTTGCGAATTACGTGATCTAGTTTCGCGAATTCCACTACTTTATTTTGCGTAATCCGTGATCTAATTTCGCGATTTCCATGACCTAGTTTAGCATAATTCGTTATCTAATTTCGCGAATTCCGTGACCCTAGTTTAGCGTAATTCGTGATCTAATTTCGCGGAATCCGTGACCTAGTTTGGCGAATTTCGTGACCTAGTTTCGCGTAATTCCTGATCTAATTTCGCAGAATCCTTGACCTAGTTTCGTGAATTTTGCGACCTTATTTCGCGTAATCCGTGATTTAAATTCGGGAATTCCACGACCTAGTTTCGCGTAATCCGTAATCTAGTTTTGCGAATTCCACGACCTTATTTCGCCTAATCTGTGATCTAATTTCGCAGAATTCGTGACCTAATTTCACGTAATCCGTTATCTAATTTCGCGAATTCCGTGACCTAGTTTAGCGTAATTCGTGATCTAATTTCGCGAATTCCGTGACCCTAGTTTAGCGTAATTCGTGATCTAATTTCGCGGAATCCGCGACCTAGTTTGGCGAATTTCGTGACCTAATTTCGCGTAATTCCTGATCTAATTTCGCAGAATTCTTGACCTAGTTTCGAGAATTTCGCGACCTTATTTCGCGTAATCCGTGATTTAAATTCGGGAATTCCACGACCTAGTTACGCGTAATCCGTAATCTAGTTTTACAAATTACGTGATCTAGTTTTGCGAATTCCACGACCTTATTTCGCGTAATCTGTGATCTTATTTCACGGAATTCGTGACCTAATTTCACGTAATCCGTTATCTAATTTTGCGAATTTTGTGTTCTAGTTTTGCGTAATCCCTGATTTAATTTCGCGGAATCCCTGACCTACTTTCAAGAATTTCACATATTCTGTGACCTAGTTTAGTGATAGCCGTGATCTAATTTCACGCAATCAGCGATTTACTTTCGCGTATTTTGTGATCTACTTTCGCTAAATCTCTGATCTAGTTTCGCAAATTCTGTGTTCTAGATTCACGAATCCGTAATCTTATTTGACCACTCAGATTCGTGAATATACGTGATCTAATTTTTGGGATCATTAATTACATATTTGATTGCAGTTTTACAAAATTTAAAATAACGTATCCAATGTAAAAAAAATTTTTTCTAAACGCAACAAGATGGTTATCCTTTGATTTCAAGGGTTTTTTTTGTTACGTATTTCGTTGTGGAACATATGCATAAAGTCAAACACCACCATCCACCTTCCAGTTGTTCGCAGGTACTTGTAATCTATAGTAGCAAATATATACGCAACGGATCAATCCAGATTAATTGAGTTACGGTTTGTGGTTTTGTGGTTAGCCAGTAACCGCAAGAACATCCATGTGGTGGTGGTCGGTACGACACCGCGCGTCGACTATTTCTCGTCAGGCGTATATCGTACGAGGATGCGCTACTTGTATTGTAACGGATTTTAGCTTGTCCTGTACATCATATAGGGGAAATCACCTCTCTCATATACAAATATAATCATAATACTGGAATTATATATATATATATATATATATATATACATATATAGAAGAGATTTTATCCAAAATGCATCGCGAGCTAAATTCTAGGTGCTGTTGTTATAATTGATGAAATTAATTAACAGTTCATAATAATCATAGTCTCTTATGATAGTTCTCTAAAATTCATTTGTATGCAAAAATTATAGTTACTTTTTTCCTTTAAGAAAAATATTTAATCTCAAAATATCTAAAAATTTTAACTATACACAATTATAAATAAAATTAATATCATCTGTATATTAAAATTGAATATGTAAAATTGTTTCTTTATTGTCAAAAGCGTTATACACCTGAATATGTTCTATTTGTGCATATCGTAATATAACGCACCACATGCATACATGGATATTTTAGATGAATTGCATCGTGAATGATATTTGTTATGGAATTAGTCGTGACGAATGGAAAGCCGCTTCCTGACTGGTAGCCACACGATAAACCTTCACTGATTACCTTGGTGACTGTAATACCATCGTATAACCATACGACGAACGATCAGCCAATCGTCATTGCTCGATAATCCGATTAAACGATATACCAATGGAAAACATTGACCGCCAAAACCGTAGTTCCTCTATATATGTATAGCGATATCGCGTTGGTCAGAATAGTATGATGGAAGTGAATTTGCATATTCGATGAACCTCATGTAGATTCATGCTTTTTGTTCTAGTTGCCAGATGATATCAGTGTCTAAATTCTGATAACAAATTTAATATTTTCTTTATCGATCAAAAATTTTCTATAAACTATAAATAAAAATTTTGTATAGACAAATTTTAACTCTTCTTTATATATCTTTTACAAACGTACAATATGTGCAGCTTCATTTATATCACTCAGAGAAAAGTTTTTGTTTAAATCAAATATATTCTATTAGCCAAAATTTAATTGTTTTAAACAAATTTTTGTGCTGAGTATTTCTAATGTATTATAATGGAAAATATTTTAATTTTAATTTATAACTAATAATATTATAATAACACAGTCAGACAAAAAAAAAATTTTTTTTAATTGTCCGAGCCGAAAATTAAACTAAACCTTTTACTAAAAATTGTTTTTGCAAAAAAACAATTAACAGTATTAATTAATTGACAATTATTTTTATGAAAATTTATTATTAAACGTCAAATTCGTTTTTGGTGGGTTAAAATAAATTTTTTTTTTTGTATTACTGTGTATTAAAAATGTACAAAAAATTTCGAGGCTATCAAAATAAGTCATATTTTTTTTATTATAGATATATTTATTGACACAAAATAATTAATTACATGTAAATATCTTTTTTAATGAAAAAAAAAAACGATTTAGTTTTCATAAATAAGAATATTTTTCAAATTATTTAAATATATACTTTAAGAAAGTGTCAATTAGAAAAAAATATGAACTTAAAAAGGCCTTTTAAATTACCTTATAGTTAATAAAATATAGATTTTGTTTTGATTTAATAAAAAATTCAAAAGTATTGTAAATATTGTAAAATCATATAAAACAAAAACATGTATAATTTAATGTGCGTTATAAATATTGTAAAATACTTTAGTTTATGTTGCTCATTCATAAAACATACACCTATATATATTCTCATACAGTGAATATAAAATTCGCAAATTAATATTTATTTTATAGATGAACCATTTTAATTTATCGAGTCCACTCGAGTACTTTATATATAATATATATAAAAATTCTCTTTCGTAGTTCGATCACATTTTGACTTTCAATTTATTCATTGAAGCATATTAAATATCTACTGTAAAAGTGAGGAATAAAAGAAATTGTAACTTCAAAGTGAACCGTACGTGCAACAGTAGCAAAAGAACAAGGATCTCCTTCACTTTTTATTAGTCGCTGCCAATTTCACACTAAAGTACTTTTCGTGCATTTAACGTAGCGTATTAAATTAATAGAAAATTTCCCTCTCTTTAGAAAAAAGCAAAAAAAAAAAAACCTTAAAAGCCCAAACATCAATAGAACTGTAAATATTCTTTTTTTTTTTTATAAAATTTATTTTTGCTTACCTAAGGAAATCCATTTTCAATTATATTATTTATTTATAAATAAATTATTAATTATTATTAATTATTAATTATTAATTATTAATTTATTAATATTATTAATTAAGTACAATTATATTGTATTTCAGATTTTGTAGGTTAGGTGTTTCTATTCCTATTAAAATGTTCGTATTACTTCGGGTTTTGTCGGACGTCGAAAATTCACGAACAATTACGAAAATTGCCGAATGAGTATAAAAAAAGAAGAAAGTATATTTCTTTCCTTTTCTATCTCACACGATTTTATATATATTGTATTATAGAGCTTTATTATATAGAAATTACTATAAACTTGAGTGTAAATTAATTTTGATTGATGTTATGTTTGATTTCAATGAACGATCGAAATCAATGGATTTAATTTAATCCAAGATTGCGTGATTTGATTTGTATGAATTCGCTAAATTAATGCATTCATGGAATTTACTGTATATATATATATATATATATATATATATATATATATGTATATATATATATATCAAAGGAAAGACAGAAACTCTCTGTAATTTTACATGCACACAAGTTAGCAAGACGAATGGCGCATTCTAAAGAGATATAGAGCTGTCAAATTGCTTCGTAAACATGACTATATTGCGGAACAAAAGAATTTTATGTAAATAGTTATAATATGAACAACCTGAGATGTATTCTAACATAATATTTCCTATACATTCACATTTTATTAATATTAAAATTATTAATAAAATAGTTATTTTTATAGTTTTTTATATTGTATTCTTTATCGTATCGAATTATCTCAAAAGGATATAGGAACTTTCTTTTTCCGCGTATATATATATATATATTTCCATGAGGCAAATTCTAATAGTTCAAAAGGTTTTCGATCGAAGAAACAGATTTCAAACTTTCTCGCCGAGTTATCTAGTTTTGCAATTAAAAAAAAAAAATTGTTAGAAAAAAGGAAATTTGAAAAATCAACAAAAAAGAAGGAAAATATGTCGAAATATATTCACATTTGTGAATTTAAAGATTTACTTTACCGAATCGAGAAATTTACGACTCAAGCCGTACTCGAGTAATCTTCTCTAAAAAGAGATTTCGTAGCCACCTCTGGTCGTTCTCAACGACCGCTTGAAAGATCCTTGAGGTCGTGCAAACCGTATTTCATCGAAGTGACTTCTCAAGCCTCGATTTCGTATTCGACGATCGTGTAGCACCCGCCTATTTCGCACGAAAAAAAAACAAAAAAAAAGAAAAAAAAACAAGCCTCGTCAGCCGTATTGGAATTGGCTAGCAGATTCGTTGTCAGAATACGTGTCTAAGCGAATTGGCTTCCTGATGCGTGATAGCGCTATCACGCGTATCTGCAATAAATTCGTTCGTTTTCCTAAGAGGATATAATACATATACTTTATATAGGATATTTTTTTTTTTAAACTCTAAATTTGTTCACGTAAAACACTATTTTTTTCATTAAATATATTTTATATGTGAAAGTAAGATTCATATTTAAAATTAATGTGTTCATTAATTTTGACCTGTTTCAATAATAAAAATCCAATTTAACTGTTTAGAGAAATAATAACCTCCGTCAATAGATGGCGTTAGTAGTTTCTGTGAATTTTTTTTTCATTATTAAAAAGTAAGATCATTTCTTTTTAGAATTTAAATAGATGAACACAATGATTAGCAAAACGGTTAGTGAAACAAATAAGTGATTCATATGATAATTATATTCAGTTGCTTAGTGGATAACAAAATGAGAATAATTTTGAGTACCGAGTTTTGACAAAGTATTCGGCTACGTGCCAAGGCTTTAATGATCTAGCGTTCGATATTTGAATTTCAATTTTAGTAGACCCAACCATCCACTATTGACCCGATTACATAACTTACGAATTCTCCTTGCTCAAAATTGGAAATAAATTAAAAACTAATTTCAATTGAAAAAAACTTTCCGCAGTGATTTTTTTTTAAATTTTAACTTTTCAAAATGGTATAATAATTTCTGAATTAAATTGTCTATAAATAATAATTTTTTTAATAAACAATTTTTTGATTACTTGATAAATCGTGTGTGGTTCACATATTTGTGATTTACATGTTCATTGCACTAATATACTCTCTGTCGATATAGTGAGTTCGTAAAAGCTAGTTCTCTTGACCAAAGGCAAAAAAAAAGAAAAACTGACGGAAAAAGCTAAAGAGGAAAAAAAGAAAAACAGTTTGCGCGTTCCTCTTTTCGTCGCATTCGCAAATACGCATAGAATGAAATTCAAGGTAAAAAAAAAATCCTAACGTGTCAGCAATGTCGTCAATTTGCATGTATATGAGGACTTCGCATTTTTGAGTCTTTCCTCACAGTGAAACATGTTGCAATTTTCATCAAAAGACGTAAAATGAAAATAAAAGGGTGCACATACTTTACTACATTAAAAAAAAAGTATATTTATATATAGAAGAAGGATGTATATAATATATTAAAAAGAGAATTTTTAACTATTTTTGAATTTTTACATACAGATTTTTTTATTATCGTAAATAATTAATGCAGCTGTTTTTTAATAAAAGATAAAATGATTATTTATGTTTTCATCTAATATAAAGCTTCATTCTTTATCACAAATATCCAAAAT